TTTTTTTTTTTTTTTTTTTTTTTTTTTGCTCGTGGTGCTTGTTTGGGTGGGGTTGCTTGGAGGGCCAGCGCCGTCGCCGTTGGCCATGAATGTACACATGTTTGTATGGTGAAATATTCGTTCGTTCGATTCAATATTATCAATTCACGATGTCCCATATTCATTTTCATAAATAGTTTTAATAACTATTTATTAATGTGGGCCTTACGTCTCCCGCATCTCAGAAATATATTCAACCGAGACTGGGTTCAAGTCAATTTTGGACTCAATTTTGATTTTTTTTTTCCCTCGTATCTTACACTAATTATACAGTACATATGAATACATACACCTTTCAGAAATAAATAAATAAATGAACCTGGAGGAGACAAGGAAAGGCAGTCTGGCACATGTTGGCTCCCTTCACACATGCATCCCCTTTGAGCCTGTCTCGTTCCCCGAGGAGGAGAACTCGGGGGAGGTAGGCGCTGCCTGGAATGGGGCGAGGGGTTCCCCCCGGGCGGTTTTCTCTTTATATATATAAAAAATATATATATTTTTTTTTTTTGCATTTGTCGGGAGGTGTTTGGGATTGGGTTGCTTGCGTGGTTTCGGTTTTCGCTTTCGCACGCACCGTGACGACCGTCTGCGCTTTTTGAGCATGAAAGTGAGCATGGAAAGGAAAGTGAGCATGAAAAGGAAAGTGAGCATGGAAAGGAAAGTGAGCATGGAAAGGAAAGTGAGCATGAAAAATAAAGGAAATTTGGTGACAGCGGGTGTGTTTGTAGGGTCGTTGTTGGCCGCCGCCTGCGGGAGCGTGTCCGTGGCCGCGGCCATCGCTTCGCCGCTCATTACGACCTACATGATCGTGGGCGGGCTTTTCTTCCATCTCAAGTGAGTGGGGATGGGGCTTTGGCGAGGTGGGGATGGGGCTTTGGTGAGGTGGGGGGATGGGGCTTTGGCGAGGTGGGGCTTTTTTGCTGGGGGCTTGGGTTGCTGGTGCGTGAGTTTATGGTGTCTTTTCAGGGAATTATGATATTTTTATTTTTTATTTTGTGTTATTTAGAATTTGAGATTTTTATGTCTTGTCATTTGTTTCCGTTTCAGGGTCAGTTCCATGTAACTGGATTTGAATTTGCAGGCTTGCCGGTACTTGAAGAAATCCAATTAAATTAAATATTTCCACTAGTTGAAGTTGAACAATCAACATTTTTGTCCTATAAGCACTTTAAAAAGTTGACTGGAGCATCCCTTACAGAAATGCAAAATAGGTTAAGCTGTAGGTTAGCATAGATTAAAATGGAACGCCATGAGTTAACCTGGGTCGACTCCCTCATTCAAGCCTTCACGTAAACACAGTTCCCATTTCACCGACGTCGCAAATTTTTTTGCTGTAATGGATTGGTTTTCGGCATAATTTCCTCAGCGCCTTGCCGCGGTATCTGAGTTGGATCCAATGGATCTCCTGGTTTCGATACTCCAACGAGGGCCTCCTCATCGTCCAATGGGAAGGGATCTCGAATATAAGTGAGTTACCTCTTCGTCCTCTTGCGCCGTTCATAACCCTTTCTGCGCCGTTCTTGACCCATTTTGCGCCGTTCATGACCCTTTCTGCGCCGTTCTTGACCGATTTTGCGCCGTTCATAACGTTTCTGCGCCGTTCATAACCCTTCTGCGCCGTTCTTAACCCTTCTGCGCCGTCGTCATCCATGGCAGCGTGCGAGACTGAGCAGCGAACGAATGCGACCTCCTGCCTCACCACGGGATCCCAGGTCCTCCAGCGATATTCCTTCCAGGAAGATGAATACCCGTTCGACCTCATCCTCCTCTTCACGCTCTACGTCGTCTTCCACGCTTCTTCCTATTTTGCACTTCTACGCCGGACCAGAATTTATTGACGAATTCGGTGAGGATGATTTAGCATTTAGCATGTTGTCATTAATTAATGGTGTGTTAATTAGCAATTATTGATTTTCGGTGTTCGCAGGATCCGCGAGCACGGCGACGGATCATCCTGCTTTTATTTTCACTTTGCCAGACGTGATAGTGGCGCGGCCTGTTCATTTTATATCCTGCCGATTTCGTTTTTTTTTTGTTGGTTCAAATATAGTGCTTGTTACATTATAAGCCTGCGAGTTTCATTGAGGCAGCGGAGAGAAGGCAAGAGACAAGAAGAGGGTCGAAATCCTCATCCCCACGTTATTTGTCAGTTACCGTAATTTTTCTGCGCTGATATATTCAAATATTTACAGGGTTGGCAGAAAAAAAAACGAAGCTGTCATCCTGTTCGAGTTTGTGTGGTGAGTTTACAATAAAAACTGTGATAATTTAATTTTATGTTTAATTTTGTTTAATTTTATGCTTACATTTGTTTAATTTTATGTTTAATTTTGTTTAATTTTGTTTAATTGTTTAATTTTGTTTAATTGTTTAATTTTGTTTAATTGTTTAATTTTGTTTAATTGTTTAATTTTATGTTTAATGTTTTTATGTTTATTCAAGTCGCAAGTTTTTAATAATCTTGTCATTTATGTTAAGCACTTTTGACAATGCGCTTAATAAGCCCAACTTATTAAACAACTTGGCTCATTGCGGCGGGTCATCAGAAAATAATTACGGCTCCGTTAATTTCAGAGTCAGAAGGCTGAAATTCGGCACTCAAATTTCAAAAATCACATTGTGTCGATCTGTAAGCCTGCCAAGTTTGTTGTGTTTTTTTTTTTTTTTGCCCACTCTGTACATAAAATTCTCGGAAAGTTATGCAGTCTTTCCAGATATCTTCTGCATTTATACGTGGGAATGATGGAAACTTCGGAAACGGTGAGCAGGAATGCAGGTGAGCAGGAATGCAGGTGAGCAGGAATGCAGGTGAGCAGGAATGCAGGTGAGCAGGAATGCAGGTGAGCAGGAATGCAGGCCCTGACGAGGACCTGCATACCCCGTATATTCATATGCTCATATATTTGATATGATATGTTATATTTGACGTGGTTCGTTGTTTGCGACGGCCTTTGCATGAGCAGCTATTTAAATATGATCACGGGAATAACGTGTTTTCGAAATTCTCGAATGACGGATTTACGAAATTCCGGAATTCCGGAATGACGGATTTACGGATGTTCAGCTCAGGTCAGGGTCATCTTGAACGAAGAGAAAGCAAAATGGAAATACCTGCTTTTGTGATTGAAAGGAGATTGAAAGTCTGAATGAATATGAGGATTAATTCAGGAAATTTTCGTGCGTCATCTGAAACAGGAAAGCGGAAGGAAAAAGGCCCACAAAACCGGATTCGGACCAAGCCGATCGATTTACTCGGTTAAATGGTAAAAAAAAAAAATAAATGGTAAGAAGGAAATGTGACGTCTGGTCGCAAACACGGATTAGCGTCGAGGAGTTCCAAGGGAGAAATAGATGATGAATGGGAATCCCGGTACCGACTTTCTTCTCCGGAGGGGCTTAACCGGGCTTAACACTCTGTGGGGGGGAATGTCCTGTCGAATGAATGTGGTAGATGAATGTCCTGTCAAGTTTTTGTCCCGAATGAATGCCTGTGGGGTCCCCTGCCTGATAAGGCGGATGGCACGGTCGCGAATCCGAAAATATTGCGACGGTTGAACTGGATTTTTTTCGGCAACGAAAAAATTCCCCGCTTAGGAACCAACTCGGATTTTATTTATTTATTTTTTTCTTTAGGAACCGACTTGGATTTTACTGGTTATTTTCGTGTTTCTGTTCGCGTTTTGTGCAGATTTTGTTAAAGCCAGATCGCATGTTGAGGGAATCAGAATTTAGTGGCGAAGTTTTTCGCGTCTGATGAGCGTTTTTGACCGGCGACTACATCCAGGAATGTCGTCACCGCAACACGCTTCCTCACCGCAACAAGCTTCCTCCCGTTTCTGTTTCCTCGGCTGCGAAAGATCGGAAACTCCTTTTCAGAAACTTTCAGAGCGAAGAAAGCATTTCAGCCTGCCGAGACCTGTTCAGTCGCAGACGACAAAAAAAAAAAACCGGCTGATCCCGTCTCCGATTCCGTCCTCTCAGCATGTGACTATCTCATTTCACTCATTGCCTTTTTTTCCCATGCTGATGAGTGCTGTGGCGACAGACATCCGGATAGATAAGGGACAGCAATAGACGGAGGAAATCAGGCACCATCGCCTAGGGGGGAGGGGGGGGATGGGGAGGGGGGCAGAGGTGGGCGGGGAGTATGGTGACTCACCGAAATGCGTCCTGGGGCGAAAAAAAAGGGGATGGAAACGAGACGTCGCCTGATTCCGGCTCGGGCAGTGGAGGCAGCAGCACACTGCGACTGTTCATTCCCAAGCTCGAAGATGCCTTCCCTTCTCGCCGTTCTCGTCCTCTCTGCCTGCCTCTGCGTTTCACAGTGCGGACGGTACCGGACTCCCTTCAAGCGTGCCTTCCCGGTTCACCCGACCCTCCACGGCGACCCCCTTCCCGGCGACCCCCTCCCCGGCGACCCCCTCTACCTCACCCCGTACATCGAGCAGGGAAAAGCCGCGGAGGCCCGGCAAAAGAGCGCAGTCACGCTCGACGTGCAGGGACGGAAGGTCCCGGCCGGGCACGCCGGCTTCTTCACGGTCAACAAGGAACACAAATCCAATCTCTTCTTCTGGTTCTTCCCCAAGCAAGTGAGTCCCCTCTTCCTCCTCCCTCAACGCATGCAACGTCGAAGAGGCTCACTCTCATCCTCCAAACACGCAGGTCGTATCAATTTCACAGTTGTTGATGCGAACTTCGCTCCCCCCCCTCAGCCCTTATCTCGCTCGCCCTTGCCCTTCGCCTCATCGATAACACCATTTCCCCCTCACCCCCCGAGTTCAGTTCCCAACGCTAATTCTTTCCTGAATCGCACAGCACGACCCGGAAGGAGCGCCTCTTCTCCTATGGCTCCAGGGTGGCCCCGGGGGATCCTCCATGTTCGGGCTCTTCAACGAGCACGGGCCGTTCGCGATCGCGAGCAATTTGAGCCTCGTGATGAGGGATGAGTCTTGGGGGAACAATCATCATTTGCTCTACATCGATAATCCCGTCGGGACAGGTCTCATTGCCACAAATATATTAATATATGATTTTTAAAGAATTATATTTTAAACAATTTAATTTTTTTTAACATTTCTATAATCGGTGACAGGGTTCAGCTTCACCGAGAACGACGCCGGATACGCCCGTAACGAAGCGGACGTGGCGCGAGACCTCCACGAGGCGATGCGACAGTTCTTCATCGTGTTCGACGCTCAAGCCAAGGCGGACTTCTACGTCACCGGAGAGTCCTACGCCGGTATGGAAATTTAGGGTTTAGAGACCTCCTCGGGTGCGAGACTGACGTCTTCCTTGTGTCGGCCCGTTTTTGTTGTTTTATTTTGGCAAATAGGTAATGTTCGTATTTATTCAAGTTCTGCCGAGCAGGGTCTCCATGGCAACCCTCTGGGGAGACTGCCGTGGTCGCGTGGCGTGCTCGAATGCTCGGGCATCAACCTTTAACGCCTCCTTAACCCGTTGGCTTCAAGTAGGGTTATTTCTCAGAAAGAACTAGTTCTGGGGTCGTAATGTTCATATTTTTTTAAAATTAGCCTGAAACTGTCAAGGAATGCGTATTGAAAGGAAGCGAAGCGACAGCGAGGACACGGTTGTGTCATCACATTGCTTCGACATCAGGAAGACATCATGTAATTAAATAAATAATGCGTCTTATGTGATTGACAGGCTTTGACTTCTCCAGGGGGAGGGGGGGGGGAGAGAGAGAAATGAAATAAAAGGGAGGCCGGTAACGCCATCTGATCTTACTTTTATCAAATGCAACATCGCTCACCTCGAAGAGAGAGTGCTACGCGAACTAATATACAGCGGAACACGTCTCGTCTGACAGGGAAGTACGTGCCGGCACTGGTGCACGAGATCCACCGTCGCAACGAAGACCCCAAGGCCCGGAAGATGAATCTTAAGGGCATGGCGATCGGGGACGGGTTCTCGGATCCATACAGCATGACCAACTACGGCGACTACCTCTACCAGATCGGGATGATCGGGCGGAAGGAGCTGGCGCACTTCGACGAGGTGGAGCAGATGGCCAGGAAGCTCATTCAGTTGAAGGAGTGGAAAAAGGCTTTCCAGGTATGGAGTGAGGATTATAAGATGGGTAACGGTAAGGATTCATCGTTGAGTTTGATCGTGTTCGATGTTTCTTCTCGGAGAGCAAGAGCAGGAACGAAATTTGGCAATCTTCCTCTCTCACAAAAGAATCGCTGAAGCAAATTTGAAGCTCCATCCCCCCAGGGTTGCGGAGAAAACCGAATTTCGTCTTCAGAAGATGTATTTCATCCCGTATTTTTTTCTTTTGGGGGTTTTCGGAGGAAAGAGACTAACCATGAGAAAGATATTGACTCGTAGATGACGAAAAGTGGCTTTTTTGTTGTTAGCAAATGCTTCATTTCGTTATTTAAAAAGGAAATTAGCTGTTGTTGTCTTAGAGTGCTTGCTCCGGTACCGTCCCGCAGTGTCACCAAAATTATGCCAGATTCAAGACTGTTTAAAACTTGTATTAGCGTCTCCATGAGACATTTTATGCTGGGGGGGGGGGGTTTGAAGAAAGAAAGCATGTAGAAATTGGTTTCCACATTACTTCATTTTCACACTTCCCCTCGAATGCGAAGAAACAAGCGACAATTGTCTTTTTCCCCGACCAGAAAGAAATTCCCCTTTGCACCGAATGAAAGTTGACAGTTTTCCATCCATGTAGAATGTCACAATGAGCAGTGAAGGCAAAAAGAGACGGGGAAAAGCTTATTTGGACCTTTCTCCATCGCTCAGGTGTTTGATGCCCTGCTGGACGGCGACAAGATCGACGGCCCGAGCTACTTCACCAACGTGACGGGATCCACGTACTACTTCAACTTCCTCCAGATGTCGGAACCGCCGGAGTTCGGGTACTACCCGAAGTACCTGAACCGGGGGGAGGTCCGCGCGGCCATCCACGTCGGGGACCGGCCGTTCAACAACGGGTCGGCGGTGGAGGACTTCCTGCTGGAGGACATCATGCAGTCGGCGAAGCCGGACGTGGAGGCTATCCTGGACGCCGGATACAAAGTCCTGCTCTACGGGGGCCAGCTCGACATCATCGTCGCGTATCCGCTGACGGTGAACTTCGTGGCGAGTCTCGAGTGGAAGCACGCCGCGGAGTTCGCTGGGGCGGCGAGGCGGCCCTGGCGCGTGGGGGAGGAGGTGGCCGGATACGTCCAGGAGTGGGGGAACCTCAAGTTGGTGATGGTGAGGGGGGCGGGGCACATGGTGCCGTACGATCAGCCGAAATGGGCGTTCGATATGATTTCGAGGTTTACGGGGGGGAAGCCGTTTGCGAGGTCGTGATGGCAGTTTTGTATGAGGAATAAAAAAAAGGGGATTGTATTCACATTTTCCGTGAGTGTATTTTTACTTTTTGCCACGAGATTGGCTGGTGTCTCACTTAGCGTCTGTAGGAACTCGGAGAACTGTGAAAAACAGCCTAAATAAATTGCTGGAGACGGTGCTGAGTGAACTCCTTTTGATCAAAATATGACGTAAAGAAAGGCTGTTCCTCCCTTCCAACATTTTCCGCGCTTCGCAAAGTTAAAATCCACAGCCCCTGTTGGGGACAGAATCCATAATGAGATGTTGCAATCCCTACTTCCTGCTTCCAGAGTTAAAATATTGACAATGTTTAATCGGTTTTGGAAAGAAGGTGCTTTTCCGAAATGCTGGAAGGAAGCGATTATTCCTATTCTCAATCCTAGTAAAACAAAAGAAATCCCAGAAACTTACCGACCGATCTCACTCCTCCTCCGTATTTGTAAATTATTTGAACCTATGGTGGACCACGGGTTACGATGGTGGCTTCGCTTCAACAAACCACTTGCAGAGTAACAGTGTAGATTTCATAGGTTACATCGTAAGTATGACAGTATCAACCATCTGGAATAAAATATTGAAGAAAAAAAAAAAGATTCGCGTGGCGCGGTCTGATTGTAGGGGCCTTTTTTCATATGGAAAAAAGGCGTACGAGTTAGTATGGCATGAAGAATTGCTATTCAAGTTACGATCTCAATTTCAAACTCACGGTCACACGTTGTCCCTTGATATTTTTTGAAGACGGTGAATCGTGTTCTCGCCTTTCCACGTGCGACTCCGATTAAAGCTGCATGCCGACGACCAGGCTTGCTGGGTAACTCATGCCGATCTTGAAATGTCCTATCCTCATTGACTTTTGCTTCTCACTACCTTTCAGCTACAGTTTCATTTTCCCTCATCACACGAGTTACATATTGTGTTAATTTTAGCCTTGGCTCATGTGCACTAATTATGCACTCAAGTTATTCCATTATCTGTAGAAGAGATTTCCCTGGGTCTGAACGGTGGCAAATAGATTGGTGGTCCGAGCAATTGGGAAAACTGACAATGAGAAAATTCTTCGTTTGCTCATCAGTCAATTGATTGGCCTCAGCGATCCGCCGGTAGATGGCAAAGTACTGCCCAAGATCGTCTCCCACTTTGTAAATGGGGGGGGGGGACAGGAGTAAAAATTTGAGCTTGATTTGAACTTAATTCACTTGCGCCGTCCTAAACACAATTAGGATTAATCATTTCTAAGGCCGAGCAACAACGTAAGCACTAATCAAGGAAAACAAAGTGACCCAGGTGTAAGAGAAACACGGTACTACAGAAACAGCAACATGGATTACTTCCTGTTGAAACAGGAATGCCAAGGTAGTCGGAGGAGTTCCAGTGTCACGTGGACTGACAATGGTAATGGCTGGAATCCCAGATGACTCTGCTTCATACTACCACAAAATTGCAAACGTTTGCGCAATTTCACCATCGTGAAATAGGAGAAAATATGCAGCAGGCGAATTGGAGAAAATTGAGCAGTACAGGTTACGGGTGCTTACCGTTGTTCGACGAGTTGCCATCACAACTTGCCAATATTGGGGAAGATGGAAAGACCGCTGCCACCAGTGGCACGTGGTAGGGTATTATGGCGCTGTTGAGGAAGGGTAACGCGGATGAGTGAAGGCTTGCGTGTGTTCGGCGCCAAGCCGAACGTCAACAAGATCTTAAATAGCAGGAATTGGAAGATTATGGGTTTCTATCCGAGCAATGTTTAATCACGTTAAGTAAAACATACTCCAAGCGGAGGTCACCAGGATGTTGAAGGAATGGTTGGAGTATCTGACGCCCGGGAAGCCAAGGAGGCCCCCGGGAAGCCAGGGAGGCTCCCAAGAAGTGGAGAATTGGCAGGCGAGAATTGGCACTAAAAGATGCTACGCGAATGCCCGGAACATCGGGAGACCTCCACTATTTAAGGGCAAGTCTGGCGGGAGAAAGTAGTCCTCCGGGCCAAAGCGAGGGGGCTGGTCCCCATGGCGAGGACAAAAGGGGTGAAAGGGAAGGCAAAGGGAGGGCAAAGGGAGGGCAAAGGGAAGGCAACGAGTACACGGGGACGTTGAGCAACTATAAGAACGTCTCCAACATTTCCCTCTCTATTCCCACCGTGGATAGACCTTCCTTTCAAAGCTAACCTTTCTCTTTCACCGATTCTTTTTCTACCGAGCAAGCTGCTCTCGCAACCATAGTTATAAACAGGCTCTTCGCATTTATGCTGGCGGGTCGTCGGATAGAGACGGCCGTGCCAGAATCGATGTCGATGTATCATGTCGACTGCACCGAGGGGGCTCGTCCCTGTGTCGATGAATAGAAGACGGCGTTCCGCTTTGAGAACGGCATTAAATGAATTTTGGGACCGAGGACTCGAGTCGTTATTGGGTGATGCCATGACATGGCGTTTTTTTGGGGCCGTGCCGAGCGGGGTCGCCGTGGCAACCCTCGGGGAGGGTTGCCATCAACCGTGTCGATCCCTTAACACTTTCTTAACCCGTTGGCTTCAAATAGGGTTGTTTCTCGGGAATGTATGCGCGGTTCTGGGTTCGCAGTGCTTATCATTAAGCATGAATGCTTAAGCATGAATATCTTTTTAATCACGGAATGCGTGTTGAATGGCGCCGAAACGGCAGCGAGGACATCACTGTGTCATCGCATTGCTTCCACGAAGGGAAAACGTCACGTAATTAAATAAATAATGCGTCTCAAGCGATTGACAGGCTTTCGCTTCTCTAGGGGGCGGGGCGGGGCGGGGCGGGGCACATGGTCGCCGAACGATCGGTCGAGGTGTTCGATGCGATTTCGAGGTTTACGGGATGGGAAGCCGTTTGCGAGGTGATGATGGCCGTTTGTGTAAGGAATTAAAAAAAAAAAGGGGGAATTGTATACACATTTTCCGCGTGTGTATTTTTACTTCTCTCTCGGGCGCTCCGGGGATCCCGGTAATGACCAGTCAGTCGTTCCCCGAAAAATGTCTTGGCAAGTCTTCGATGTGGAGGGTGGGGGCGGCCTCCATGTGCCGTTCGTCGAGGGTCACGTGTATCGGTGGTGTCCCGCCGACAAACAATGGATGAGGTGAGTCGACGGTGGATGAAGTGAGTCGGGAGGAATATCGATATCGGGCCGCGTTTCGGGCGCGCTGTTTATCTTTTCATTAGATGTATTTATCGAGGCGGGCGTATCGCGATTTTTTTTTCCCCCGAGCCGCGGATGTTTTCCGAGGCGTCTGTCATGCGAAATTGTTTTTCTTGGACAGAGCGACGAAGGCTGAGCCCACGAAGGCTGAGCCCACTAAGGCTGAGCCCTCGCAGGCTGGGCCCACTAAGGCTGAGCCCACTAAGGCTCGCCTCGACGTCGCAACTCGTTCCCGGCAGATCCGAGGCCGGATGCGTTCGAATTTCCGTGTTTGCTCGGCGGTATCGCGGCCGATACGCGACCGACTTCGCCGCCCTTGAGTCACGATCGACCTCCCTCGAGTCAGTTACGACCGTCCTCGAATCAGTTACGACCGTCCTCGAGTCGCTCGCAGGGTGTACGCGGCGGTGAGCGAGAAGCAGTTGCTCTTCTACGCCATGGCGGATGACGTGATGCCGGTGGAGGCGGTGCCGCTGGGGCTCGCGAGGGTCCGAAGGGAGCCAGACTGCACCATTCGGATCTGCAGTGGAGTTCCGGTGAGTGGGCGGGGCGGGGCGGGGCGGGGCGGGGCGGTTTTGGTCTGATTGACCCAACCCTTTTTCGATGGTGGGATCGGTTTCCGGTCGATCGATTTCTTCGTCACGATCTTCGAAGGGTTTCGTTGTGGTCATTTCGCATATTATCAAAGGGCTGGATGATGAAAAGTGCAAAAAATGAAATCGTCTCGAATTTTTACCCAGACGTTTAAGGCGACGGTCACTGCGAGAAAAAGCGGGGCTCGTCGATAAATTCCATCGGCCCTAATCCGAAAGCTTCCATCATCGACGAAGGGGAAAGGGGTCTTCCTGAACGAAACTCGACTCTTCTCGGACACTTTTTTTTTTTTTTTTGCAATTGACCGTTTTTCATTCCGCCTTTCGATTTTCAATCCGGAAAAAAAAAAATAATGGAGCATCCCGGCGAATCACGCGGAGAAAATGACGCGATGCAAAAAATGCCGCGATTCTCAATTCCGCATCCACTCAGGAGGAAGAGACGATCCTATTGGTGGAGAAGGAGGAGGAGGCACGCGATTGGCTGGACGCCCTGACGTCATCGACCTCCCCGTCGCTCCAGGGTCTGAATCTGGAGACGGGCGCGACCGCTCCAGTGTCCCTCGGGGTGCCGTCGAGTGCAAGTGGGTCCCCTTTTTTTTTTCCTCTTTTTTTTGTTGTAATTCCGTGGGAAGGTTCCGTCGGGGATGTGGAGGGAAAGGAGGTCGGCGGTTTAGTGCCTCCCTTTTGGACCTCGTCCAAGTTTGATATTCAGATTCGCGTTGAAATCGCGTTTTCCGTGTCGCAGATGGGCCGTCGAGGCGGCGGAGGCAGCGTCCGACGGTGAGTCGCTTTCTTCCCGTTTCGCGGGCTTTTTATCGATCGACGCGCGAGACGGTTTTTCGTCGCGACAGACCCTGGTGTCGAGCGTGGGAGAAATCTCGAACCGATACGAGCGGGCCCAGATCGCCGCCCAGCAAGAAGGCCTTCGCCGGGCCATCCTCCTCAAACAACGAAAATACTCCACCGCCCTCAAGGTAAAAAAAAACCACAACCACAACCACAACCTCGACCTCAACCGCCCTCAACCCCTCCCACAGGTGGAAAACCTCGAGAAGAGCCTCGGCACCGGCAAGGTGAAGTTCTCGGAGACGGAGATCGAAGCCCTGAAGACCCGCCTGGAGTCCCTGGACGAGGAACTCGGCGAGACGGAGAAGCTGACGAAGGCGGCCGTGACGAGACTCGCCACCAAGCAGGCTTCTCATCTTCAGACCATTCAGCACTTGGGTATGTCGTTTGGCGGTTAACATCAATGTGTAATTAATCATTACTGTACCAATAATAATTAATTACATCAATACATTCTATATTTTTATTCTAATTTTTCTCTTCCATCTCTCTCACTTCATGTTAAAAATTTATTCCAATCCTGACTTTTAAATTTATTTTACGCCAATTATTATTAGTATTTTAATTTTAATATTATATATTATTTTTTATTAGTATTGTTATTTCTTACCTCTTTACCAATGAATTTCCTTTCTATGGATATCTCGTTCTGGTCTCCAGGAGCCCTGGAAACCGAGGCAACGAAATTCAACCGCTCCCCCTCGCACCCACCCCAGATCCTCGTCACCTGTTCCACGGAAGACTTGCGATCGCGGCGCCGCCGCGGAAGCCTGGAGGACGTCGCGACCTCCCCCACGGTCGCGACGCTCTTCCGCCGCTCCAGCGGCTCCGAGGTGGAAAACCAGGTCGGGTTCTCGATGCAGATGGCGCTGGAGCTCGGCACGGCGCTCATGGGCGACCCGGCGGGCCCGGTCGACCCGGTCGAGGAAGACTTGCTCGGCGGAAATATCTCTGGGTGGGCGCAGCGGGAGATCCGAGCGTTCGAGCAGATGGCTCGCGATTATTTTCGGCGGGCGGGTCAGTATCATCTCTGCGATTCCTTTCCGCATTTCTCGGTGTCGCCGGGTATGTTTGATCAGTTCTGATTCACGTCTGATTCACATCTGATTCACGTCTGATTCACGTCTGATTCACGTCTGATCCGTCGATTCCTCAAAGCGATCAATGAAGTCTTTTTTTCGTACTTGCCCCGCATGATTCATTTCCGACGTTGACGAACCAAGACTTTCAGCGAGACTTTCAGCGTGACTTTCTGCACAGTTTCGATGCCAATTGCTTGTGTATTCAATGGATTCGATGCAGTTTGAATGGCAGCGCCGGTGGCGCGCGTGCCAAAGTTATTGTTAGAACCCAGACGTCGGTGGCTCTGCGGGAAGGGAGTTATTTTCGGAAACGGCGATTATCGCGTGCGGTGAGTCACGTGACCGGCGGGAAAGTACGCTCGGTCGATTTTTATCGGCGTCGAGAGTGACTGCGTGGGAAAGTTCAATAGCTGCAGTATCTTGTGAGGAAAAATGCGGGTAAATAATTGGCAGGCATGATTTTGAACGGGATTAAAGGTTTCTGTTTTTTTTTTACATTCTGATTTATGAGCCGGAACGAGAAATATGTGCGACCGTTACGTGAGTGTACACCGTGTCGGTCATGACGTCAGGGTTACGTCATCCGTTGATGTCATTGGAGCGTCATCTGGGGTCTCGGTTCTTGGGTGCTTTCCCTCCGAAGTGCCTCGCTCTGGCAAGGTGCCCATCGACTCCGGTTCGGGTCATCCATCGTGAGGTGATCTCAAGTTCAAAATTCCCATTCAAGGTCATCAGAGGTCAATTTTCTGAGCGGAAGATGTACTCGCGGTTGATGCAGTGGAATTCACTCAATGAGGAATTACCTTGGAATTTATTTTTTTTTTTAATCCTGAATTTCACGGAAAATACGAAGGGATGTCTTGAGAGGAGTTTCACCCTTTTCTAAGGTCGCTTTTCATGCGAAGCGGTGGCGCCTGAGAGGAAGAGATAGGACGGAGAGTCGTGCCAGACAAGGGGAAGTAGGAGATGATAGGTGGAGGGAAGTGGAGGGAAAGGAAAAAAAGAGCATCCGCACAGTGGCATAGCGAGGCTCCATTCCCCCTCCCTCCTCCCCATCCACATCCACCTCCGCCTCCCTCCCCTCCCCATCCCCCTCCCCTCCCCTCGAAAATAATCTCTGGCAGTGTGGAGACTTGAAAATTGAACCCTCCTCAATGGCGACATCCTGGCTACGCCACTGATCTCGAATGTGTCCGCATGGAATAGACGAGCTCTTTCGGCTGGGCCAAATGTGCGAGAGAAACGAAACTGGAACGCCTGCCAAGTCAGCTTCTTTAATATGTTCCACCTCGATTCTGGCTTAAGTTCGTGCGTATTTTCGTGTTTACGACGATTCCGCAACAAACGCCGTGAGAAAGAAGGCGAAATGATTCTACAGGGCGGCCCAAAAAAAGGGTATATTTTTCAATGCGCATTTTACGCGTTATGTTAATTTTTTCAGATTTACATGTAATGGAAAGAAGAAAGTTACAAACTTTTTTTCACACTTGACGTATCTTAAACGATGACTTAAAAAAATAATGAATTTCAGTTATGAAAACTCCGCATTGCGCTCACCGAATGCTAAATGAACACGTGTCCAATGAACACGTGTCCAATGAACACGTGTCCAATGAACACGTGTCCAATGAACACGTGTCCAATGAACACGTGTCCAATGAACACCTGTCCAATGAACACCTGTACCCCTCCTCGACTCAGCCCACCATTCGCGAACCCAAACATCCGCTCGACGGCCCGTCACTCGAGAGAAGGGAAACGCTGACCTTTGCGGCTTTGGATTGTAGCCCTCATCACTGCGACGAGAGAGGTGGACGGAAAGGCGAGGTCTCACGAATTGCGAGGAATCCATTCGTAACGGGTATGTAAGGATGCGGATCTCGCAGCGGAGGAAATCCGAAATTCCTTGATCCTCACTGAAAAAGAAAGGAAGACGGTAAAGCCATTCATAGCGACAACGAAACGCTGGACTAAGCCCGGAAGGCAAGGCCTGGTCTCGCCGGCCTCGCGTGCCACCACCTCCTCCTCGCCTCCCCTCCAGCAAGGCTTAATGGGATCGAATGACATCGCTGCGTGACGCGATCCGGTGTCTCACGTCCTTGCAGAATTCCTGCAGACTCTACAGGTAAGCGTTTCCGTCCGCGTATCGTCGACGCACTCTCAGCCTTTCGAGCTCGTCTTGAATGCTTCGATCTGAGCCGGATTTATCTTTCAGACACGCACGCCAGCAGCTCCGTGCCAGCAACTCCGATTCGTGGGCCCTGTGCCTCCGGGGAGGCACAGGGCCCACGAATGAGCGCGATTCCATTCATGTGAAATGGTTCAAAGATTCCAGCGCGTCGGTTGCATCACCGATTCCGATTTAGCTGGGGGGAAAAAAGCATGGCTCTTTGGATTACGAAACACTCGCAAATACGGAAATGTCAACATTCTAACCTGTCACCCGAGCAACTTAAGATAGAGAGCTGCTTATAATTTTTTTTATTTTAAAACTTGAAAGGATATGACACAACTTAAATCTGTTTTCCTGCGACTTAATTAAGTTAATTAATCATTTGTGGCGATTTGTGACTTTTTACATTCAGAAAATTTAACGATTCAATCCAAAAAATTAACAATGGGAAATCCCAAGAAGAGACGTTTTGCCATAAAAATCTCCGATACGACTAGCTAATTCTACATTTTCTTCTGAAATGGCTCATGAATTTAATTATGGCCTCCTGTTTTTCTTTATTATTATTAAACATTCCACGATGGCTTTTTCAGATTACTTCTAGCGAGATTGAGATGATATCAAACAAATCCTAACCACTTAGTTTTTTTTTAATATTTAGAGTAATCAGGTGAAACCAGTTTACATTTAAGGAACTCTGGAACGACCATGTTTGAATCTGAAAAAAATAATAATAAAAATAATGAAGTTTGACAATTTCGGCGAAGACATGAAAGCGAGCCGGGGAAATATTTGAAACATGGTGACTGGTGAGAGGAGTTTGGTAAAAAATAAATATAAAAAGTTGGATTCATTACCAACTCTCAACTGGCTTTTCAAGGTTGAAAACCTAGAATTATTTTAAAAGAAATTTAATTGCTACTTTTACTCATCGAGTGCGAACAAGTGATCTTTTGCACCATTTATTATTCATTTATTCATTCATTATTTTTATTATTCATGTATTCATTCATTATTTTTATTCATTTATTATTCATTTAGTCATTCATTATTTTTATTAATTCCTATTCATCTCTATTCTCATCAAGAAACTCAAGGATCAAGTCCTTAGATCGAGTCGATGAGTCCGTAACGCAAGGGGATTGGAACGTCCAAAATGAGAGCACAGGACATTTCTTCTTCATCTTTGGAATTTCCCCCCCGATGAACGAAAGAATGGGGGAATCGGGACAGCGACGAAGAGGACCGCGTCGCCCGTTTCCCCCTCTGTCTCGTTCTCTCCTCCAAATTAAGTGGATCTCGTCTTGCGTGGCAGCCGCAGTCATGAGGTTCGAGGTAAGCCGATTCTTTCTTGCTCGGGGGCTTCGATATATTGATGGTACCGGCGAAAGGACGCGGTAAAACAGATTCGGCACTCACGGTCGATCCCCGCGGATTACTACAGGATAAATCCTTACGGAAAGGTTTTCCCGTCTTCTTTGATCCAGGGAAGGAGGAAGTGGATCTGCTTGCTGCTGCCCCTCCTCGACTGGGGGGTCCGGGATGCGGCTGGGCAGAACACGAACCCGGTCATCACCACGAACATCATTGGTGCCGGGTGAGGCCCTGGGGTCTTGGGGACTGTGAACCGGTCAAGAATAACAATTTCAAATAATCATAAACATATATATATATATTGTATATTCGAGAATAAGATTAGAGTTCTCATGAGAGGCATGTATGAGTGTTTTGCATTTCTCCCTTCGGTCTGTGATGTCAACCGCGCATCGGTACCTGTTTTCAAGGTGTAGGGGGGCCCTATTCCTATGGGGTGGGGCCCTCCTACACTTTGAGGAGGCATAAGGATCGCAAGTGGAGAGGGGATTGGATTAGGGAGGGATAAGAATAACGCATGTGTAGTAACTTGGGAATAACTGGGGGGGGGGGGGGGGAATGCCCACAAGCTAAACCCTTTGAAAACTATTGCTTCGCAGCAAAGTTTTATCTTTTCGCACTCTTATTTCTGGATCTCGTTTTGAATGCAGGGCGGTGACCGGAATTATCCCACCGAACATCGTAGGAACTGTGTTACCTTTCATCCCTCTTCTCTGCCTCTTCTCCGCCATCAAGTGAGTTCACCCAAGATTAACGCACAGCTCAGAGGAGGGGTGAGAATGAAAAAAATGAGGTAAAAAAAAATAAAGTGGAGCAGACCACCAAGAACAAGCAGGTATGCCGTCTGTATGGACATTCAATCATGTCAATATTAATATGACAGTTAATGCCCGTGGAACCGGTTTATAAGCCGGTCAGTCTAAAAGAGGAAAAAAAGTAGCTGACATCACTTTTCCTTTCCGCAGGTCGGGTAAGTTCAAACTGGCGTTCGACAACAAGCACCGAAAGTTCAAGGGACATAAGAGACCATCCGTGAACAAGATTGTCGTGCACCAGCACGTGAAGAAGCCGCACCACCACCACACCTCAGAGCCGATCTTCGTGGACCCTTCTTCCTCGTCCTCTCTGTCCTCTTCGTCGGGGGGTGTGGGGTCCTTCACGAATCACCTCGCTCCCCGTTCGCTGAGACGGGTTGACGGGGAGCCGGCTCGGAAGCGGGGGAGGTCGGGCAAGGCGGTGTCCAGGTTCAGCAAGGGGGGTTAAGGGGGTTTTCCGTCCCTTCTCTAAAAATTAGACAGCGTTGACGGTTGTCCTTAATCATTATTGTTATATGTATTTTATTTTACGAGGGACTCTCGACACGTTATGTTTCCCTATTGGCAAAAAACGACAAACTCCATGCTCACACATCTCTTCACTTTCTATCAATAGTATATCCACGTATAATTGCATTTTCATCAGTTCACGGTACTCGAGCTGAGGTCAACTTCACTGGTGTTGATTCGTAGTTATTAGTTTGACTAATTTGCCTATGCAGCAAATATACCCGAAGGCAAAATGGCTTCGACGCATGGCTGGCTGAAATGCAACATTTCGCGCAATGAGGATTTCACCCAAGCGTTCAATTCACAACGTAATTGTTGAGTTGAAATGCAATGGAAGAAGTCACTGATGAGGACACAATGTTGTGTGGGTGTTCAGGATACTCTCTGAACACCCACAATGTTGTGTGGGTGTTCAGAGAGTATCCTGAAGGGATGTGCGAATATGGACCTCGTGGTTCCAGCCAATATGGAAATAAGTTTTGTCAATTTGTTACTGTTGTTGAAAAGCCAAAAATATTGCCCGATTTTGCTCCCATGTTACCCTGATTACTTACTCCTTTACCCAGAGTCGGTATACCCCCTTGTTTTCTATTAAAACTAAAGGTTCTGCACCTGGTGTTGGTGTTATAAGCACCTGGTGTTGGTGTTATAAAGGTTGCGGTTGATGAGGTCATTTAGCCTCACTCCAAGCTCAGGCCTGATTGTGTCAAAGGCTTTTAAAGCCTTTGACATAACCCTTTTTCCTTACCCTCAAAATAAGCCCTTCTCTTCTTTCCCTGCTTTTGGTGAGGCCGGGTGTACTCCGTCTCGCTTCTGTTTATTGAGCATCGCAGCTCCTCAGACGCCAACTGGTGGCGGAACGAAGCAACTACTGCACAGCTGATGGGATTACAAACACCGTTCTTTTTGGTCGCGCGGGTTGGTCAGGAAGTTCGGAAGAGAAGAAGATAGATTGTGTCGCCTCGAAAGCGAAATTAAATGCGGCCTGCTATAGCATTTCTCCGTCCACGGAAGAAATTAGGAAACCTATGACATCCGCCGTGGTCGTTCATTCGCGTCAGTTCGTGGGAATCACGGGAGCAGAGGAGAGCTGACAGTGAGCGGTGGGATTCCTGTTGTGCGATCCGGGTCTAAGGAATCGCGACCTTCGGTGGCGACACCGTTCGCGAATGCCTCCAATATTTCTTTCGCGAAAACTTCTCGAAAGTTCTCGAAAACCTTGACGGAGTCGTTCGCAAAATCGCGCGGCGCATTGCCGCGTGACATCTGTGACTTTGACGAGTCCGCACTTACAGACTACAAATCCTAAAAAATTGCGAAAATGAAAATTCTGAAATTACGTGTTAAGCAACTGTAAATAATAAAAATAGTCATTTTCCCCTCTCAAATTGGTCCTTTCATGGAAGTGATTTTCAACCGCTGGTACTTGTACTAGCACTAGCACTAAATCGCACACATAAATAAATGAAACATCTAGCATAGTAAACTTGTTATGGAATGTTTTCCCCGTTGTAGCAACAGGTTAGTGTCAATGAATCATTGACGCAAGCACAGCATCGAGCCTGCAGAGCTTGTCTTGTAACCCCCGCCACGCTTTAAGGTTACACCTCTCGGCAGGATTCGGGAAGGGTGGCAGAGAAGGGGGGGCACGCCGGTGAACGGGAAGCAAACGCTGAAATGATGCATTTTCCGTGCAGATTTCTTCGCGATGAAGTCTAGCAGCCCGACGCCCTAAGTCGCTGATCTTGCGGATTTCATGGATTTCATATTCTCACCTCCGAACGTCCACCTGAACTTGCATACATCTCCAATTCCCGATTTGCTACTCGCCTTCGACACCGGGACTCCCAACGAACGGAATCAGGGACATATTTTCTCTCCGTTGGGAGAAATTTTCCGTTCGTAGAAAGAGAGAAAGGAAACGATTAAGAGACCGCTTCGTCCGTTTCCCTCTCTGTCGCATACCCCTCTCCAAATTAAGTGAATCTGTTGTTGTGGCAGCCTCCGTCATGGAGTTAAAGGTAAGTCGATTCTTTCTTGCTCGGGGATTCACATTTTTTGACACCGGCGAAACGACAATGCAAAGCAGATTCGGCAGAAAAAGGGAGGAAAGGGAAAAAGAAAATATAGCAGACCTCTAATGATGAATAGGACTGCCGCCTGAAAGAACAATCAATTACGTCGACATTGATGGCATAACAAACGTCCGGTGAACCTGTCTCCTCCGATCGAAGGAAAAAAAGAAAAAAACTGGAATCATTTTCTTCAAGACGGGAAAACAACAAGCGTCGAACGTTCAAGGGACATGGAAAGCCAACCGTGAACAAGGGCGATCGTCCATCAGCACGTCGGGAGCCACCACGCCTCAAAGCCGATTTTCGTGGACCCCTCCTCGTCGTCGGGGGCTGTGGGAATCACCTAACCCTCCATCCGCTGAGACGGTCTGGCGGCAAGCCGGAGCGGGAGCGAGGGAGGTCGGGCGAGGCTCCAAGTTCCTAAGGGAGCTCAGCGAATTTTCGGTCCCTTCTCCAAGAGCAGACGGCGTTGACTGTTTCCTTTAGTTCTTCCATGTCTTTACTGTTTGTTTATTGCTTCTTTTGGCTTTGAAAGTGTTCATTTATGCATGAATTGTTGTTCATTGCATATTTATGCATTAATTTGTTATGAAAACCCCAACAAGTTTCCCGAATGTCGCTTTCATGCCACCTTGATTTTTTTTTTGCAACAGGGCTCTGGCTCAAATTAAGTTCAAGGTCAAGTCAAGATTAAGTCTTGCCCCCTTGCATTCCGATTCAGGGATGCTTGAAATCCTTCGCTAGAGGACATCCAGTGACGCTAGAGACATCTAGTGTCAGTGCAAGAAAGGTCTCATTTGGTGGGTTTCATCGGTCCTGAGAATTTTCCCGCGCAGAACATTCTCATTAAAATATTTTGCTGCACGACTTTGGAATTTTCTTGAAAGTCATTGCTAATTGTTCGTCTGCTTTCCTTCTACATTATTTGAATACTGAATATTCCGCTACTATAAAATTAATGAATTATAGATACAAAATGTCCGGAATTCTGGACAACTGGACTCGAGATATTATGGGGGAAAAAGAGGGCGATAGTCATGTGGGAATGTTCGCCGGACGTATGCGCAAATTTTTGCACAATTATTGGGAATTTAGATGTCATGTATGTTTAGATTTTTCTTGCGATACTTAAACCCGACCTCATGGCAATACAAAATATGCATCGCTTATCCAAAGCAATCAATGGGTGAACGAGAAAATCCCCTTAAAAGCCATCGCTGGAAGGTATGCAGTCGGTGGGCTGCGAAAGGCCCGTAATGGCCATCCATCGCGAATGCCTTTGCATAATGAATGGGAGCGATGCCGATGATCGATTGTGGCCCTACTCTCATACCGAGTACATGAAATTCCGTATAATTTCCTCGGTCTGAGAAAGCGGTCTAGCAGGGGTTAATTAATGGAATTTCTCCCTCTTCCGTGCTCTCCTTTCCTTACCTCTCAAGGGGGAATTTGAGTTCGTGCATTCCTTAAGAGGGGATTGGGAACGGCAGGGAAACCCTGAAAGTCCTTCAACAGTGAAAGCAGTTCTCAATGCTTTTTCTTCAGATTCTTTCTCCGTTGTATTTTAATGGCAATTTGCAAAAATTGCATCATCTCCTCTCCCATATCATCGGTTAACACCACATTTTTTAAGCTTGATTCATGCTACCTGTCGAGTACACCAAGGTCAGATTGAACACTTTAATCCTGGGATATGATTTAAACTCAGGGATCGTTTTTGGTTCTGCTCCTTGTCTACCCTCACCATTGGTCTCCCCAAATCATTACTCAGCCTGAAGCAAAATGTCTATTGCAGCTCTGATTACCCTCGGTAAAGACCGATCCGGCTGGTATGGAACTCCTGAGCCTCATACATATTTCATTCGTCTTGGTCATCCTCAGCAGGAACACCCGCATCGAACTGGGACCTGGGTTACCACGGCCTTCCGAATAATTCAGTTCTATATACGCCATCGAGGACAACTCGTGACGAATTGGCTATTGGCGAAAATGACTTCCAACGGACCCAATGTTACTGCCGCACTGCTAACGAGGTGTTCTGACAAACCGGTCGAAGAGTATGATGTGGGTAAACAAATGTTCGGACCGTGAAAGTTCCAAATTCGACCTTGGCTGACCCCGATAGATGTGACGCCCGTTGCTTTGGACACGTCTGTCCCCGTGGAGACTCTAGACAAAAGTCACCCAATCTGAACCCTTCCGCCTGCATCAGTTGAATATCCAATTGAGTTAGAATAGACTGAACACGAAGGAATGTAGCCGAACTAAGAAAATAAAAATTGAAAGAATTTTTTATAGGGTCCCCCCTACCCCCATCGCACGATGAGCTGGAACTCCGGAGGTTTAGGCGATGCCATACGACCATGATAATGTAAAGTGCCTGCTTCTGTATGACAATGCCCACACTTCTGTCACTGTGGCGACCTAGCTCACGAAGCACAAGGCGAATGGCCATCCCCACGTACCCGCCAGGTCCGATGACTTGCGATTATACTAGTAAATGCGATTATTACTTTTACTCAGTCCCACTCCTTGAGAGATGCATGGCGTGAATTTCACCCAAATGATTGTGAATTCACCTACAAGGGAGCACATGCCACTAGACCCAGAGCTCGGCTTGACAGGTTTTATGTTAATGCAACCTCCCTCTCTACAGGGTGTTAAGAAAGTTGTGTCCCACTGCAGTATGCCAATAACCTCAGCAAAAATTTAAAAATCAGGAAATTTTTTAAATACACAATAACAAGGACAGTTAACTGATTTAGAATCACTTAATAGTTTTAGATATAGCCGCCCCTGGC